CATCTGAAAATCCTTTAAAATGAAATACATATGTAAAATGCAAAGATGCAAAAATGTTGATCCCAACGATGAATATCTTACAATAATTTTCACCAAAAATATAAGTTTTCACATTACAAGACAATCCACTTTACAGACATTCATTCACTTAGATGATTGAGTCTGAAGTGGATCACTGCATTGTCTCAGATCTTCATCCTCGAAAATAATTCCCCTCAAGTATTCTGTAACCTAACTCCATTAATACCTCGGCGATGCTAAATTCATTGAGTCACTCCTTCATGGTTAGTGATGGAATGATCGTAGATAAGACTCTACTACTGGATTACTCATCGGATCAGTGGATCATCATTTCAGTCTCGAATACTGCACGATCTTCGAGCTCACTGCTTCATTTCGAATCTTTGTATTTGGAACTGATGCCCCTCAATGCTCTGTAAACTAACTTCGTTAATGCCTCAGCGGTGTTGAAGCCATTGCGTCGCTCCTTTATGTCTAGCGATAACATGATTGTAGATAAGATTCCACTGCTGGATTACTCCTCGAATCAGTGGATCATCATTTCAGTCTCGAATGTTGCACGATCTTCGAGCAAGTCTCATTCTTGTACTCTGAACTTCTTTAAGCCCTCGGTGCATGTCTGTGTATGTGACTGCTTGATTGAAAATTTTTATCTCTTCTTGTGAAAATTTTTCTCTCGAATATCCCCTTGCGGATCAACACTTTCGCTTTATGTTATGTCGATGAAAGGCAATGCAAAGAAGGATGAAAAATGACGCAAACAAAAGAAAAGAAATTAGTTAGTACGGGCAAGATAATCAATAAAATTAAATATGTTATTTAAAGATAAATATAACACCTACCCCGTCATGATATTTAGCCGAGCATGCTTTTATTAGATGGTAATCCTACCCAGACATGCTTTCTACCCACAATGATTTATTTTCAAGAAATTAATCCTAACCGCATGGTATCTAGTTCGCATGCTGTTATTTGAAAAGAAATATATTCTACAAACTTAAAGAAAAGATAAGGGTTTAGAAACGCTCGTCATTTGTGTCCACCTAATTTTGGGTATCTACTGACGGATAGAGGTTTGGTATGGCTATACATAGGGTGACCGTTCTACAGTTCACTATATGCTTGGTTTCGGCACTAACAGGAAAAAGGTACTCTAATTGTCCTTGATGTCGGTGCCCCCTTGGGTTGCCAAACCCTTGATCCTCACCCATTACAGGTTTCAAACGGAACGAGTTCAATTCGAGGGGATTCACTACCATATACCATACGAGGAATAAATCCCTACGAAGGTATAAGGTATGTAGTCCATGGGTTATTTGCTAAAACTCATACGAAGATTAAATTCTTACGAGAGAAAAGCATTCACCCTACTAATTTGGATCGAAGGTCGTGTCTAGAGCTCATGTTATGCAAATGCACGTGATGTATGTGAGGATGAAAATAGCTACCTTTGACTCAAAAGGAAAACAAAACAAGACAAAAAACTTGATACAACCTTGACAGAAAAGAGTCATCAAGCTGTCACAACATATTTTTGTTAAAACAATTAAATATTATTTTAAAAATGATTATGACTTTAGTTTAGAAAATAGGTTGATTTTGAATTGATTTGAATAAAATGGAAAAGAGTCGCCATCGACCTTTGGGTTAGGTAGGTCGAATACCTAAAAATATCTTTTAAAACAATTTTAAGGAAAATCATTTTTAAGACAAAAAATTGGTCTACGTTCACAAAGATTAAATTTAAAAGGGTTCATGAGTCGATTACGCGTGGGGAAGGATTAGTACCACCACAGCGCCCAAAATTTGTATTGTATCGCTTGCACGTTATCGTAATGGTGGAAGTTGTGAATCGAATATAAAGCTGAAATATGATCTATTTATCGAACATTGATTAATTTACTTTGAATTAATTATTGTTAGAGAAAATTCTTTAACTCAAAAAGAAACATCGAAATAAGCAATCCTCCATCGGGAAAGCTATTTCGATTATCTCTTATCCATAAAGAATATTCTCTCTTTGATAAAATGTGAATCAAATATAAATTGAATATCGATAGTTACGTAAAATAACAAAAATTGTCATTTAAAGAATAATATATTGCATTATAAACAAGATTTAATTAGTAAAATAACCGAGATTTTTTCAAGTTCCCATGTCGTAAAATGTCGTGTCACATCGTACCACTTCGACCAAGTGATGCTTTCCACGCTCATTTTATGCATATGTGTTCTTGAAACGATTCGAATATTTCATCCATGGATAAAATGCAATGGAAATAAGCGTAATTAAAAACAAAAAAATAACATGTTTACATTAAATGGAACTAAAACATTTTTTACATAATACACATAACCATAAAATATGTAAAATACATTCATACATAAATGACTAAAATAAAAATAAGAAAACATTACAAACCAAAATGAAATCATTAAAATACAAATATTTACAAGACTAAAATAAAATTAACATAAATTAAGAGGGTTAAATAGTAAATACATAAAGTTAAAGGACCAAAATAACAAATACAGAAACTTAAAGGACCAAAAAACAAAAATAGAAATTTAAAAGATCTAAAATAGTAAAAACAGACATTTAAGGGATTGAAATAGCAAAACAAATATTTAAAGGACTAAAACAATAAAAATAAAATCTTAAAGGGTCTAAAATGGTATTAATAGAAATTAAAAGGTCTAACAAACAAATATGAATAAATCAGAGCCCTAATAATCAAATTAAAATAAATACAGGGACCAGAAACAAAAATAACCCATAAATAATGTTTGCATATTAAAATAAAATAAACAATAAACATGGATGACTAAACAATAATTAAACATAAATACAACAATGAATAAAATAAAATATATGCAAATGTCATGGCCAAATTTGAATATTAACAAAAAATACATAATTTGTAAAAAGCAGGACTAAAATACAAGTATTGAAACAGTAGTGCTCGAAATAAAATAAATCAAAACTTCATTAACTAGCTAAAAAGTAAGATTACAAAGGATCAGGGACTTAGAGTGCTATTTACCCTTAGCATGAAAACACGTTGAAGGTCCTTGGCAAAACGGCATTGCTTCGCCTAATATATATATATATATATATAATCTCTTAGGCCAAAAAATGGCCACCCACCTCATTTGTTCTGTTTCAAACCGAGAGAGAGGAGAGAGAGAGTCTTTAAGCTCTCTCAAAATCCCTCAACAGATAAGGGAAAACCGTCGTTCACTAGAGATTCTCGCAGCGGCTCTCACGGCGGCGTACGGTTGTCAGAGAGAGCCGAACACCCCAAATGAAACATCCCTTCCCCTTAACCCAGATCTAGAGAGATTATCTCTCCACAAACTTGGAAAATGGTGACCCTTGGTGTTCCACGGCCTCCGACGAACCAACCTCCTTGGTAAGTTCTCTCTCCTCTATTCTTTCTTTTGGTTCGAATGATTTTTTCTTTCATTTTTTCGTGGTTTTTTTTCGAGTTGGTTCTCCCTCTGTATTCCCCCCCAATATTTCCTCTTCTCACTGAATCCCCCTTCTCTCCGCTCTCTATTCTCCTCCTTTTGGTGATATATAATCTTTCTTTTATCTTCTATGTCCTCTCTTTGATGGTTTTGATAGCCTCGGTGAAGGGTAATAATATCCTATATTTTCAGGATAAGATTTTCTTATTTTCTGACTTGGATGGGCTCTTGCTCACTGTTTAATGGATGTTTGGCAGAAATTGGTAACTGTTGGTGAAATCATCGATCGGTGGGACACTCGGCGGCAGCTCGGGAATGTTAGGAAGCGGCTCACGCGTCGGGAAGAATGAACGGTGAAGTCCACGCACCAGCTTGGTGGCTGATTATCACTGGCGGCGGTTGAGATGGTACCCAGGGTTGCAAACCCTAATCCCTTGGGCGATCTAGACCGTTGAATGGGTCCAGATCCAAGGGCTTAGATTTAGGCAGCTGACAGTAGAAGAGAAAAAAACCCTAATCGGGTATTCAAGTGGGCCTGGGCTAAGGTCAGATCCTGGGCGGGTTCGGGTCTGGACTCCAACTAGGTTGGTCCTGGTTGGGCTCTAGTGAGCTTGTAATCTGGGCTTGGATGTAATTGGGTCACTAGTTTGTGGGCTTGAATTTAGGCCTGCAAAATGTAATTAAGTATGTAAATAATAATAATATTATTATTATTATTTATAATAATAAAATAATTTTTTGTAGACCTGGACAAAAACGGGTGTCTACACCATTGTTGTTATTGCTTCTGAAATATGGTATTACAACGTTTTTGTTGGAGAGGATTTTTTTTTAATTAACCGACCCTTTTTACAGTTTCAAGCTTGTGTTAATATACCCATTTTTTACAGAAAAATAATCATTGAAAATCTTGCTTGTTGTTTTTGCTTTGCTGTTTTGATGTGTTGCGTGGAGTGTGAGTTTGGTTTGCTTGTTGCAGGAGTTTCTAACACGGCGGGGGATGGATTGGTGGCAGCTGTGGTAGCTAGGGATTGGAGGAGATGGGTGGCAGATAGGGTCTAGGTTTTGTCCTGGGTCGGGTTTCGGGTAATTAGGTAGTTGGTCTTCAGGTTTGGGCCTCCGGGTTTGGGGTTTAAAAATGGTGATTACACCTTCGAGCATATTTTGTGTTAACTAATACGGAGATTTCTCGGCATTATAGAACATGTTTGCATTTTCACGAAGATATTCGAAAGACCCCTATAGTTCCGCAATTCTTTTGAATGTAGTGGTGTTCCAGCATTGTAGAGGAACCCCGTAACTTCTATCCAGGTCGCTCTATCCACTTGGTTCAGGTCCTCTTGCCACATACATGCACAAATATTTCTTTGAGGTACGACCAATTTAAGCATGATAAACAGATCCTCATCTTCAATTGAGATTAAGAAAGATTTTCCTCCTATGCTTACAATTTTTATCTTATCGAGGCCCCAATCTTGTAGCCTTTGTTGGATACTCACACAACATACTTATGCAGTTTGACCTATCAAGCATCTCTTTAGGTTCATTAGTTCATCAGATTCAATATGCCCTACTATTCTTCTGATTCCTTCTGCTGCTGAATCTCCATTGGTACTTGTTTTTAGTCTGGGATTCCTTTTCAACCTTTTCTTCATATTTTTTTGATTATCTTGGAATCCTTCTAAGTTATCCACTCCATCTCCTCCTTCGTACATGGCATTTGGATTCCTTTGGTTGTTTCTTTCCTGTTCCTTTTGCATCTTATCTCTTCTCCAGAACTGGTCCCTGGTTTTGTATTTTGCCATTAATACCACAAGTCTTTTCCCCAGTAGAATGCTTCCGTTCAAATTTTTTATCACCTTTAAAGCATCCTCCCTATTCCAAAATCTCACAAACCCAAACTTAGCACCGCTTCTGTTGCGTTTTGATGAAATGAAACTGTCAGCGACCTCACCATACTTCCCGAAAAGTAACCACAATCCCTTCCAGTGGAATCTATCTGGAATGTTGCTAACGAAAACGGTTGACGCCGGGGTTCTTCTCTCCTCCGTTATCCCCTTACTGTGATACATGTGAAACACAAAGAAATCCAGGCCATGGTGTTTCTTTTTTACGCTGACAACTTAATTAGTGAATCTAAGAGAACGCAGCAGTAATGTTTGTTTAGTATGATACTCTATTCGAAATGCCTTGTTTTACAACAACAACAACAACAAACCCTGATTCCCATATGCAATGGGGTAAAGGGGAGGTAGGGTAGTAGGTTGACCCCAACGCCAGGTTGAGAGCAGCTTCCGTGGAAGACCTCCGGCAGTCAGAAAATTAAAAATAAAGATAAGATACAAATGCGTGTATAAATAAATAAATAAATACATAGATGAACAGTCTTCATATGCAGTTGATGTGCGTCTGTAATGGGGAGTAATTCCTGTAAATAATTCCCTGCAAATAATTTCCTACATAGAAATCTCTGCATATAGACTGAAAATGTAAGACCCAGCTAAATTTAAAAAGAGGAAACATGAATAGAAATGATACGCAGAAGTCAATAATAGCAAGCTACGAGAAGGAATAAATTCAAATGCGTTAATTCTTAAACTAAGGCAACACTACTCCGATACCCTAGTTCTAAGCCTTCATACATTTCAATGACAGAAACATGTATAAATGAGAAGTCATGGAAAGTACTACTAAGACATTAAAAAGAAGACAGAGATGTTACACCCTATGGCTGTGAACCGCACTACTCAACTACCCTGGTCTTAAGTCTCCATACTTTCCTATCGGAGGTCATGTACTCGGTAAGGGCTAATTCCTTCAAATCAGATCTCAAGCAGTCTTGCTACTTCTGTCTTGGTCGTCCTCTCCTTCTGACACCATCGACTGTAATCGACTCTACCCTCCTGACCGCATCCGACGATTGTCGCCTAAGGATATGCCCAAACCCCCGTAGTCTTCCCTCCCTCAATTTTTTTGGATACAGGCACCACCCCAAGTACATCCTAATAGCAGAGTTAGGTGTCATGTCCCACAGAATCCTACCACATGTCCATCGAAATGCCTTGTTTTAGATGACATTATATATATATTTATATATGAAATAAAAGCCATCTTTTTTGGCGCTCTCTAAATCAATTTGCTCAAATATGATTGTGTAAACACTTATTTTTGTCCGGAGCTTATTTTTTGAAAATATTTTCAAAATATATATAATATATAGTTTTTTTAAAAATATCGATTTTTGAAAATATATATAATATGATTTTGAAAATACGATTTAAAAACATATATTATATAATTTTGAAAACACATTTTTTAAAACGTGTTTTATATAGTTTTGAAAAACAGTTTTTGAAAATGTATATAATATATAGTTTTTAAAATCGGTTTTAAAAACCATATAATATATAGTTTTAAAATATTTTTTAAAAACATATATATAATATAATTTTTGAAAATGTTTTTGTAAACATAAAATATATATATTTTAAAATATTTTTAAAACGTATATATAAATTTTGAAAAATTTTTTGAAAACATATAATATATAGTTTTTATGCATATTTTGAATATATATATATATATATATATAGTCTTTTTAAAACGATTTTTTTTCAGAAACATATATAATATATAATTTTATAAAAAATATTATTTTTGAAATATAATGTTATATAATTTTTATTATATATTATTATTGATTATTTATTATTTTATTATTATTACTTATTTATTTAATTTTTTTGTTCTTTTTTTACAGGTCCAATGAATCCATGTTCGGGTCCAGTAGAAACCCAATCGGGTAAAGGGCCTGACCCAACCCTAACCTGTTTAGGGTTTTATATCTAGCAGAAGGGCGTCGCACAGTCAGGGAAGGTTGAGAGCCAAGCACGCGAAACGACCAACCGAGACGTTCGACCGAAGAACCCGAGAATACACCATCCCGTGGTTTTCGGTCAACCCACAAACAACCGTGCAACCATGGCAACAAATCCCATCATTTTCGGGACCACAATGGCCGACCATGGAGTTATAAAAACCTCGACCAAGAGTAGAAAAAACAGAACGAAGGCCACCAAAGAAATCCAAGCATCGAACCACAACCAATACAGAGAGCAACACAAAAACCACGAGAAAGCAAAAAACCGAACAACAACCATCAGAATACCAAAAGATCGAAACTACACAGCAACATAATCAACCAAAAAAACACACATTTGAAAGCAACAAAAAAAAGGAAAAATCAGCGTGTGTGTCGGTGTTGGCTCGAGAAAAGAACGGTCCGAAAAACTCATTTTTAGCATCAATTTGATTAACGAATTTCAATTTATTCAAATTTAGTCCTTAAAGTTTCTTATTTTATTTTATTTTCCCTACTTTTTTTTTATTTTTTTACATACTTTCAAAATCTAACATTTCTTTTATTTATTTATTTATTTACTTTTTCTTCTTTTAAAAAATTAACATTTTTCACCTTTTTTATTATTCATCTATTTATTTATTTATTTATTTTAAAATTTAATTTTTCTTCAATTTTTCCTTTCTTTAAACTTGATTTCATATATATGTTTTTTTAAAAATCTTTTTTTATTTTTTTATTTTTTTATTTTTTTATTTTTTTATTTTTTTATTTTTTTATTTTTAATTTACAATCTAACATTCTTTTTGACATTTTTTTAGAGGAATTCCAACCAATCAAAGGTAAGTAATTTGAATCGGGTTTTTAAATTTTTAATTTTTGCAATTAAGATAACCGACAAATTAAATGGTACCGAAATGGCAGTTCAAGGGTGCTAATCCTTCCTTCACTATAACCGACTCCCGAATCCGACATATTTCTGGTAAAATACAAATCATGTAAGATGGTATCCGATCAACCTAAATATTATTTTTAAATGATCGGTGGCGGCTCTAACATATTTTCAAGTCGAAGCCCCATTCCAGGCCCACCCGAAAGACAGTTGCGACAACTTGGCGACTCTGTTGGGGACTGGTAAGTGAGTCAGGCTAAGGCTAATTTCCAATTTTCTTTTTTAAATGAAAATTGTAAGTTAAATTTTAAGATAAATTTTCGATCCTTATTACTTACATTTGATTATTTTTCAAGTAAATAGTTGTACTGACGTTTTTTCAATGATTTCAGATTTTTGAAAAAGTTTTCATCTCTGGATCTATACCCGAGCTCCGAACCCTTCTTAAGTGGAGGTGAAAGCGACGCCTTCGTGGGAATTTATTCTCCGTATGGGTCTAGCAAGTAACCTTCGGGATTCATATACTTTATGTCTTCGTGTGAATTTACTCTGTTTGGGCATAAGGGAATGTATCCTCTCGAGTTTAACTTGATACACATAAACTTGTAATGGGCTTAGGGCTAAGGGTCTGACAATCCCAAGGGGGCATGAGCAAGGAGAGCTCGGGTACCTTTCTTTGGAACCTAAACCGGGAGATTACAGGGAATTAGAGCCCACCCCGAAACTCAATTTCAAAACCTAGGATGCTTGAATTATCTCCTATTTTACTTTCTGATTGAAAACATATATATATATATATATATAATTTTTTTGAAACAATTTTTTTGGAAACATATATAATATATAATTTTATAAAAACATATTATTTTTGAAATATAATGTTATATAATTTTTATTATATATCATTATTGATTATTTTTATATTATTACTTATTTTTTAATTTCATTTTTTGTTCTTTTTTTACAGGTCTAATGAATCCATGTTCGGGTCCGGCAGAAACTCAATCGGGTAAAAGGCCTGACCCAATCGGGTAAAGGGCTTGACCCAACCCTAACCCATTTAGGGTTTCATGTCTAGCAGAAGGGCGACACACAATCAGGGAAGGTAAAGAGCCAAGCACGCGAAATGGCCGGCCGAGACGTCCGACCGAAGAACCCGAGACTACACCATCCCAGGGTTTTCGATCAACCCACAAACAACCGCGCAACCATGGCAACAAATCTTGTCATTTTCGGGACCACAACGACCGACCATGGGGTTATAAAAACCCCGGCTGAGAGAAGCAAAAATAGAACGAGGCCACCAAAGAATCCAAGCATGGAACCACAACCAACAAAGAGAGCAAAACAAAAAGCACAAGAAAGTAAAAACCCGAACAACAACCATCACTATACCAAGAGATCGAAACTATACAACAACATAATCAACCAAAAAAACACACATTCAAAAGCAACAAAAAAGGAAAAATCAGCTTGCACCTATTGCGGTCACATATATGCCAATCAAACACCTAATTATTTAAATTAATTACTGAATCACACTAATCCAAACTAATGAGCCATAATTAAAACCATATTAAAGCTAGGGGACAAGACAAAATATCACCTAACTTAGACAATCTTGATGTAATTTTCCTTTTCCCTATAGCGGAACTCCCACATTATTTTTCATATTCCTCATTTCACAGATCCACCACGCCCAAAGCACTCTACACTTGTCGGGTATGATCATTGCCAAACTCGTTGGTCGGTCACCGATCGTCGACGATTATTATTGATATTCGTCGCCGGTGGTCTTTGAACCCAAAGTGTCGGTGGAAATCCACTCCAAGTGTCTCGATATAGGACACCTTGAAAAAAGGGGATTGTCTTAGGAAAGCGGACTAATATAAGGCTAATATACGACGTTTACCGGATACATTAAAAAATATTTGACAATTCGGTTTAGCGCTACCGGAAATATCGAGTAATAAATGTAATAGGTCATGAAGAAATATTAAAAAATTTGGCAACCGACAAACTTAACTTGTCGGTTTGTGTCGATACTTTATAAAAATATATTAATCCATAACAATATAACAGGTAAAAAAAATGACAAAACCGGTCTATAAATGACAAAACAGGTAAAGCGCTACCGGATATATTGAAAGTGTCGACACTTTATAAAAATATGTTGATCCATAACAATATAACAGGTAAAAAAATGACAAAACCGGTCTATAAATGACAAAACAGGTAAAGCGCTACCGTATATATTGAAAGTGTCAATACTTTATAAAAATGTATCGATCCATAACAATATAACAGGTAAAAAAATGAAA